GGCCATGGTGTCTGGCTTGGGCTTAGGTAGGAATGGAGAAGCACAGCCAAGGCTTGAGGCCCAGTTCCGAAGAATAGATTATGAGAAGAGGATTCCTTGGTATTGATTATTAGGGGAGCACTTCTAGTAGAAAATGAGGAAGGATCTGGGGAGCAAAGCAGAGTAGTGAGGTAATCTCACTCCTCTCATCTGAGAGGGAAGTGGAGCTTGAGTTCAGGCGCTGCTCTGCTGTCCTCTGCACTTACACGCTGCCTAAAGGAGGGTGATGGGTTGGAAGAGAGAAGAGGTCCCGGAGGTTCCCGTTCTTTAATTTTTAAAAGCAAAACAGTTTAGGATCCTAAAGACAGTCAGCTGCCAACAGCCTCAGGTAGGGTAGTTAAAAGTCAGGCATCTAGAAAAGGTGAGGGAACTGACTACTCTTAATTTCATTTGTATCTTAACATCTTAACATTTACAATGTAAATGTGTTTAGAAGTGAGCCATGTGTTATAAGATGACAGGCAGATTATATATATATATGATATAGATATAGATAGATAGATAGATAGATAGATAGATAGATAGATAGATAGATAGATGGTAGATTGGATAGATGATAAATAGAGGAAAGATACAGGGACAGACAAATAGATGATAGACAGATGATAGACAGATAGATAAGAATATCATATAAAGAGCTTATCTCTGACTTACTACATGTACTACCTTTTCTATTGCTGTGATAAAACATCATAACCAAGGCATCTTATAGAAGAGTGTTTTGGGCGTAAGATTCCAGGGGAGTAAGAGTCCAAACAACACAGCACGCAGCACGTGTGGCAACTAGAGCAGAAGCTGAACCACAAATGTGAAACGCAGAGAACGACCGAGAAAGGGTGTGAGCTCTCCAAGACCACTTCCAGTGACACATTACTTCCAGAAAGGTCCCAACCCCTAAATCTCCCCAGCCACTGCCTCCAACTGGGGACTAAACGCTCAAACCTTGTAGTCTATGGTAGACATCCTCATTCAAACCACCACACCAAGATTTTGAGTTTTTTAGTTTTTAGTGTGAAGATAATTTGTCCAGATAATCCAATGTTCACAGCAGTTTTTTTGAGACACGTAAGCAGTATTGCAAAAGCAAAGCACTCACACTTACCTAGCATCCAGCAGCCTTGAAGAGTTTGCATGATTTCTGTCCCTTTCCTGTGACTTCTTTTTTTTTTTTTATTGGATGTTTTATTTACATTTCCTATGTTGTCCCCTTATCCCATCCCCCACCCACCCCGGAACCCCCAATCCCCTCACCCCTCCTCCTTCTTCTCTGTGGATGTAACCTCTATCTAACTCCCCCCCACTCCCACCTCCCCACCCTCAAAATTCCCACCCCCTGGGGCATCCAGCCTTCATGAGGTCAAGGTTCTCTTCTTCCACCTATGCCCAGCAGGGCCCTCCACTCTTACATATTCAGCTGAAGCCCTGGATCCCCCCCCAAGTGCTCCCAGGCTGGTGGTTTAGACCCTGGGAGCTGTGGTTGGTTGGTATTATTGTTCTCCTCATGGTGCCGCAAATCCTTTCAGCTCCTTCAGTCTTCACTCTAACTCCTCTATTGAGAAACCCATGATCAGTTCAATGGTTAGTTGTGAGCATCTGCCTCTGAATATGTCAGACTCTTGAAGACCTCTGAGGAGACATCCATATCAGGCTCTTATCAGCATGCACTTCCTGACTTCCACATCAGCATCTACCTTTGGTGACTGCACATGGGATGGATACTCAGGTGGAAAGGTCTTCAGATGGCCCCTCCTTCAGTTTTTGTCCCTCGCTTTGTCTCCATATTTGCTCCCTTGAGTATTTTGTTGCTCCTTCTAAGAAGGACCGAATCACCCCCACTTGGTCTTCCTTCTTTATGGGCTTCATGTGGCCTGTGAGCTGCATCTTGGGCATTTCAAGGTTCTGGGCTAATATCCAATAATCAGTGAGTGAATACCATGTGTCTTCTTTTGTGATTGGCTTACCTCACTCAGGATGATAATTTCTAGTTCCATCCACTTACCTAGGAACCTCTCGAATTCATTGTTTTTAATAGCTGAGTAATACTCCATTGTGTAAATGTACCACATTTTTTGAATCCATTCCTCAGTTGAAGGACATCTGGGTTCTTTCCAGCTCCTGGCTATTATAAATAGAGCTGCTATGAACATAGTTGAGCATATGTCCTTATTATACGTTCGAGCATCTTCTGGGTATATGCCTAGGAGTGGTATAGCTGGATCCTCGGGTAATGCTATGTCCAATTTTCTGAGGAACCGCCACACTGATTTCCAAAGTGGTTGCACCATCTTTCAGTCCCTCCAACAATGGAGGAGTGTTTCTCTTTCTCCACACCCTCGCCAGCATCTACTATCACCTGAGTTTTTAATCTTAGCCATTCTGACTGGTGTGAGATGGAATCTCAGGGTTGTTTTGATTTGCATTTCCCTGACGACTAAGGATGCTGAGCATTTCTTTAGGTGCTTCTCAGCCATTCGAGTTTCTTCCGTTGAAAATTCAGCATTTTCAACAAATGGTGCTGGTTCAACTGGAGGACAACATGTAGAAGAATGAAAATTGATCGATTCTTATCCCCTTGTACAAAGCTCAAATCTAAGTGGATAAAGGACCTCCACATAAAACCAGATACACTGAAACTAATAGAAGAGAAGGTGGGGAAAAGCCTCGAATACTTGGGCACAGGGGAAAAGTTCCTGAACAGAACTCCAATGGCATATGCTCTAAGATCGAGAATTGACAAATGGGACTTCATAAAATTGCAAAGTTTCTGTAAGGCAAAGGACACTGTCAATAGGACAAAACGACAACCAACATATTGGGAAAAGATCTTTACCAATCCTAAATCTGATAGAGGGCTAATATCCAATATATACAAAGAACTCAAGAAATTAGACTCCAGACAACCAAATTACCCTATTAAAAAATGGGGTATAGAGCTTAACAAAGAATTTTCTTTTTTTTTTAAGCACAATTGTAATAAGTACTTTCCCCTGAGAGAGTTAACAGCTCTTGACAAAAAAAACCTGATTGAAATCAATAACTGGGAACAAACTCCAGCCATTAGAAGCAAGTTGCATGGCTGTTAGATGGGGCTCAAAATGTGAGGCCCCATTTGAGAGTCATAGATGAAACTTTAGAAGGAGACCAATATACGAGCCTGGTGACTTTTGTGTAGAAACATTTGGCATTGCAGAATCACATTCAGAGAGGATACATCGATTTAGCTAGCGTTGGAAGTTAGTCAGGTGGGTTAGTGAAGGGACAAGAAGTTAAATGAGTGAGATTTTTGCAGGTAAATGAATAAAGTCATTGTACCATGGAATCTAACCTTAAAATACTAGGTTACTGAAGAATTGGCAGTTGTGAGGTCTTCATGTGGACAAGTCACTGATAATTTGGACAGAAGAGACAAATGAGCAGATGTTGATGGACAGAGGCAGAATCCTTGGGATTGAGACTGAGGAGCGATTGCTCTTGCAGATGGTAGAATCAAAGATAGGTCCTTGAGGAGAGGTGTCAACTCTGAGCCAGAGGGAAAGAGCCCCAAGGCTCACAAGGTAGAAGGCAGGAGAGGAAAGAATATTCCGTACTGTTACAAGAACAACGGGAATGGGAGTCTTAAAGTTTTAGACTCCTGATTAATTAACTAAAAATGTGAGGATAAGAGTGAGGTGAGATGTCATAAATTCACAGTCAAGTGATACGGAAGTGCTTGGGAAATGTGGTACTTAGGATTAGGTATAATGAATATCTTACTGACAAAAGCATTTCATTTCCTTTTGTATCCCATATTTAGAAAGGCAACAAGTGAAAAAGGTTTATGGTTCCTCTTCCTGAAGTCAAGATCCCTCATGATTGATAATCTAAATCTCTACTGTTATTAAAGAGACTAATTTTAAATCTAAAAAAAAATGTAATAAAACCTTTATCATATTTAAATATGTCAAGAAAATATCCTGAATCTGAGCCATGGTTCTCTATTTTCAGTCTTTCATGGAAATAGTTAGCTGTGTCCTACCCTTTATTCCCATAAGAGTAGAATTCCAATATTGTAACCCATGGTCTTTGGACTCTAGCAGAGGAATTGGGAGAAAACTTCATCCACAGAGGAACAAGGTTATCCTAGACTAGAATAAGCAGAGTTCCTATTCATTCAGATTATAATACATGCCTCATCTCAGAGTTACATAGAATCTCCAGTTCCTTGTTTTAACCTCATGACTGTCTGAACAACTATAAGAAAGAGTCAATATATTTTATTTTTTCAAAATATTGTCAGCTATTTTGTCTGTCTACTCACACTACTGTAACTCAGCACCTCCTTTAAATTACTAGAAGCTCACAGCACATGGTAACTGAAGAAGGGAGGTGGAGGGGTCCTAGAAGGGGCATGGTTTTGACATTTCTGAGACCAGACCTCTTTCTACCTCTTCACTGGCTTGATTTTTGTTTTGTTCTTTTGTTTTGTTTCCTTCCCTGCTGAGTGAACCCAGGGCCCCAAGCACGTGAAACATGTCCTTTATCATTGAGCTATACCCCCAGCCGTTAAATTAGTTTTTAATACTCTGTTTCCTCATTTATTAAATGTGACCATTTGTTACTATACTATGAATTAGTCATATAAGAAAATAAAAATTTTATAAAAAAATAAAAGAATACTAAAAGTATTCTTTATAAAAGATAATAAAGTATATTGGAATATGGTCTGTAAGCCTACTGGAATCATTGGGTAAAATTTTTTTTGACTAGAGAGAAAGTACCAGCAGTTTTAGTGTTTTTGTTTGGACTGGTCCTAGTGGCTACAGTTATTGCTATCAAGGTAGAAGGCTTTTACATAGTGATCAGTTCTGACACTTAACCTGAAAAGCTAAAAGGTTTTCTACTGGTCCTACATGTTTAAACTCAAAAAAAATGAGCAAGGAATCTTGCCAGATGCATGACTCAACAGTGGCTTGCTGTTTCAGGTTGGAATTGTACAGTATGGACAGAATGTTACCCATGAGTTCAACCTCAATACATATTCATCGACAGAAGAGGTCCTTGTGGCAGCAAACAAAATAGAACGACAGCATGGCCTCCAAACGATGACAGCCCTGGGAATAGACACAGCCAGGTATGGATTACAAATCCTATTGGTAACACTTCATAGGTGTAGCTTCTGACATTCCTAGACGACTGACTCTTACAGCAAAACTTCCTTTGGCTCTTGCAACCGTTCTTTCTCCTCTTCTGCAATGTTCCTGAGCCTTAAGCACAGGAGTTGTTTTGTAGCTGTATCCATTGGTCAGACCTGAAAACATACATACAAGTAACATTATGCAGACTGAGCAGGATTTCTTTTTTTTTTTAAAGAGAGAGAGAGAAAGAGAGAGAGAGAGAGTTTGTGTGTGTGTGTGTGTGTGTGTGTATAACAGCAATTAATGAAAAAAAGAGATCAAGAGTTTGAAAGAGGTTTAAGAGGGTATATGGGAGGATTTGGAAAGGGAAGGGAGAAGTGATGGATTTATATTAAAATCTCAAAAATAAAAGAAAAAGTAAAAATAAATAATACAAAAGACTATGCAGCACAACAGCCAGCTAGCTTAGCCTTTTGAGGTTTGACTCAATGTTTACCTTGACAACACTCAATATCATATTTCTTTTCAAATTCCATTAAAAAGACTTGCTACTAGACAATCACTTTGGACCGTAATATAGTCACATGACTCTGCTTTTTCTCTTTTTCTTTCACTTCAAGGATCTCACTGATGGTGAATCAATTAAAACTTAACAATTAATCAATTAAAACTTAATTAATCAATTAAAAGCTTAACAATAGTCTCTCATTATGTTGCTATGAACCGACGCTTGATATTCAATCTTGTTTCCATTTGATTTTTTAATTTAATTTCTAGGCATATCAATGAATGGATTAAAATATAGTCCATGTCTACTCATTTTATATTTTCTATCATGGTCTTGTATCTCTAGCACTTGGTACAGCATTTTGGTAATTTTCATTTAGGTGTGTGTGTGTGTGTGTGTATGTGTGTGTGTGTTGGAAATAAGGTAATAAAGTCAAGAGACTAGTGAAAATGAAGCAGTTTTTAATATACTATTCTGCAGAAAGGGATGCTAGCATACAGAGAAGGCAAATCTGGCCAGCATGCTGATTTGGAACAAGTCATTCATTTTTAAAATCTTCCCAAAATGCCCCAAATTCCTATTGTCTTCTCCTACAGATCAGGAAGGCACCCCTCTCAAACTGCACATTTTATTGGCCTGGGACACAAGGCTCTGTACAGTAAACAACCTGAGGGTTGTAACTATTCCCAGCCCACCGCACCCCACCCCTCCCCAAAGCACCCCACCCCTCCCCAAAGCACCTCACCCCTCCCCACCAAACCCCACCCCTCCCCACTTTTCTGATCCGGAGCCTGCTTGTAACTACTACCTCTTAGAGTTGTGAGACAAGCAGATGCCAGATGCCAATGGGGGAGAGACAGGCCTAACAGCTCCTATAACTCTGATGATCCGTAACAAATAGATTCCCTCCTCCGACCCCAGGGCTGTTCTGCGTGTGTGTGTGTGTGTGTGTGTGTGTGTGTGTGTGTGTGTGTGTGTGT